ATCCGGCCGCAAGGCCGTATCGAGAAACGCCTACCTTTTGTTCTACCGCCGGCGTTCCCCCGTCCCTTTAGGCCCTCCCTCTCTTCAGCAAATTGTAACCGGCGACAACAGCAATCCCGACTCTGATGAAGATGCAGACGACCAACAACTTCGCTCTCGGTCACCGGCGGGAAACGGCTTGCGCCTCGACGATTCGTCCCGCAATGGGTCGTCGAGCGCTGGCGCAGTCGCAGCGGGAGCCGTAGCCCTGCGCGGGGGTGGTTATCAGCACTCAGCAGCCGCGAACCGTCCAAAGAACGGAGTCGCAGCCGGGAGCCAGAGTGACGATGATGAGCTACCATCCTATGGCGACGATGAGGGCTACGCTGATGACGGTGCTTACACGTCCACTCCTTGGGAAATGGACGCTGATCAACCAGCTTGGAGCTTCAGCGGCCTTGGCAGTGCGAACATGGATCGCCGTAACGACTCGGATGATGACGGTGCCGCGTCTGATACCGGAGCGATGGGTTCCGTAGGTGATGGAGAGATGAGCGAAAGGATGCAAGACTTTGATGACGATGGCGGTGTCAAGAATGGCTGGGGTGGTGTCGGCACACCCGTCGCACAGCAAGAAGATGAAGTTGCCGAGATCAGGCTCGTCGGCGAAGACTGAGCAGACGAAAATCCTACAATACGCAGGAGGATTCGTGTTCCCCTGAATGGCAAATCATTGCATCTTTCGTTTGAGTGTATAGGTGGCGATCGTGGGCTTGGGAGACGAAAAGGCTCTCGTTAGATTAGATGGACATGACTGATGAACAAAAGGAGGATAGCATGGAAGGGTTGTACATGACGAACGGGACGGGATATCAAAGGTGGGTGAGGGTCATTATCCTCAGGGCGTTTTGCAAACATAGCATTCGTAGGCGCATCCGTAGGCGTATCAATGAAGATCTTGCATCGTTCACCATACTATACAGTATCTTGAGATTGAGTCTCTCACGCCGCGCACTACTCGATCAGAACAACCTAGCCACGCCATCATCGCATGAACCGCACAGACCCATCCATCACCTCGCGTAGAGCAAGAGCGGAGACAGGGATGCCGGATATCAGGAAGCACTAATGGAGTTGCGCGCAGCCAATGAGCAATTGACTCCCGGGGTTTCTACCACCGGTGTTTGAGGCTTGTAGGTTTGCCAGCCTTGACATTGACGTTCTGGTTCTGCCATGACGCTGTTTCTCCTTTTTCTTCACGGCCTAGCGAATGTGGCGGACATGGTACAAGGTCCGCGGAGTAGGTATAGACGGCGTATAAAGCGCTATAGCACATCATGGCGTGCGGCATACCGGCTACAAGCGTGATGGTACGCAACGGTTTTCTACTTGAATGGGGCGGTTGATAAACGATGTGAAACGCAGAATCGGAGGCACGTACCTGCGTCCACGGCAGGCAAGGACGCTTTGTACGAAAGGCAATCGCGTCACATCCTCCAGAAGCCCCATTTCCAGTCGCAACACCAGTATCCTCGCATACTTACCAACACAGAAAGCCCATGGCGTTCCTGGAAAGATCGAGGTTCTCAGGTGCAGGAACAAAGAGCGGGTAGAAGCGATATACAGCAAGGATGTATATTATCAATAGATCCAGGTCCGCCTATGACGATCACTCCTGGCCGCATCGAGACAACACTCCGAACCGCATACCCGGAACCTGTACCAATGTAGGAAATGACGATGACGAGCATTTCCTCATGCGAAACTAGCTGTTGAGATTTCTTGTCATGCTGTAAACCAGTTTGTACTCGGGGAGGGTACTACAGGTAATACCACAGGGGCGTATAAGAGGTATCGTGTTCTCGTTGTAACTGACCAGTCTCTACTACGATTCACTCGCTCAGTTTCGTTCCTGTGTATACTTTACCTCGTTCACTATCTTCATAGTCGTCGTAACCACCAACACCAAGATGCGTTTCTCCCACCTCGCCGTCTTCGCCCTGAGCGGCCTATCGCTCGCGAGCCCGGTCGTCCAGCAAAAGCGCCAGGAGACAAGCAGCGTAGAATCCCTCCTCACCGACCTCTTCGCCACGGTGCAAGTCTACACCGGAGCCATCAGTACGGCCCCTCCCCCTTTTGAGCCACCAGCCAAAATAAAACCCCCATCACCTGCATCATACTAACAAATGCATCTTAGATGCCACCCTCGCGCCCCTCTCCACATCCTCATCTCTCCTGGAAAAGACGGCCGCAATCCCCAAAGTAGGCGAGCAACTCAACAAGATCACCGCCGCCATCACGGCTTCGACAACGCAAATCCGCGATCTCGCTCCTGCGAACGCTACGCAACCCATGGTGCCAGCCGAAGACAACCAAAAGCGGTCTACCTCTACCGATCTCGTCGACGTCTCTCAGCCCAAGGAGAAGCGTCAGTTGATCGCCGCTGGTGCCCTTCTTGCGCTCATCATTGTTGAGATTTTTGCTACGATTACCGCTGCGGTGGCGATCTTGGGTCTCGCTGGGCTTTTGGTGTTTATCAACCCGTTGACGAGCGCGTTGAGTCTTTTGATTCTCGCGGTTCAGTTGGTGCTTAATGTTGTGCTTGTGGGTGTTATTGCGTTGCTGAACAGTGTGCTTGGTGCGTTGGCGCTTGGGCTTAGTGGGCTGTAAGGGATCAGTTTGGTTGTAGTGGTCGGCGGTGTATTTGTAGAGATATGATTAGATTTGTTATGACATTGTCATTCCTGTCTACTTTGGTGTCAGCCCAGTGATGTTCCGGTGTCTTCAAGTGACAGTGTGAACCTGGAGTGTAGTTGACGGATCGCCATCCCGTCGATCCGCTTGTTCGACGTACTTGAGCGCGATAAGCTTGCTGTGACGATTGCTCAGAGATCGTCAATTGACAGTGATGGTATTAAGAAGAGTCTCATCATGCGAGTATCGCTATAGTTTGACGTTTAGTGTCCTGGTCCGGATGCGTAAACGTTTTGACGAAGCGTAGTTGGCAGCACGCAAGCTGTTGAGATGTACGTGACTTGTCTCCGTTTATTCTAGATGCATGAAAAGATACTGGTAGACGTCTTACATACCCTTTGTGCTCCTTTGTTGATTGTCCCTTTGTTGATGAATGATCATTGTGTGGCAGTCGTGGTTGACATCAAGCGAGCCAAGCCTTCCCGTTCACAGTTCAGGAAGTCACAGTCACGTCAGCTCCTCACCACTCACAACGACTCATATGAGCGGCAAGCGTCGTTTCTTCATTCTCAAACGACCGTACAGTCACACCCCATGACTCACATCATGCACCTCTGGAGCAAACCTTCCAGCAACCCATACCTCGCTATACAGGTAACCAACCTCACACGATAGTGCACCTCTTACTTCGCAATGTCGGCGTATATCCTTGCACTACCTGATGAATTGTTGCTCGATATCACGGACCATCTGCCTCGTCTACCTCGGGACCGACGCGCCGAACTCGTCTCGTTGGCAATGGTGTGTAAGCGCTTTTGTGAGTGGATGCTAGAATGACATCCAGCTTGCCGTCTCACTGACACCTTCTAGACAATATCGTGGTAGAAGTTCTCCATAAAGATGTCTGCATCGACATAGCTAAAGTACACAAACTCGTCTCTTTGTATGCCGCCCGACCCAAGCTCGCGCGACTAGTCAGGAGCATTGACCTTTTCCGGGACGCCGACACCGATGATGAGCGCACTTCCGGGCGTAAATCTCGAGGGAAGGAACGGGGTATTTATAAGCCTATCATGAGGTCGTCCGGCATTACAAGGCGCCTCCAGCTGATGCTAAAGTATGACCTGCGTCGAAAGAACGTCCAGGCAGACATGGCTCTTCTCTTGCTACAGATCCCCAACATACAGTGCTTATTGCTAGGAGGGTTATCGCATGGTGATATCCGCTTCCTCGATCCAGTATTCTTCGAAACCTCGGCCTCCACCGCAGATCTAGCTTCTTCAGACGCCCACCGCTGTCGGCCCTATCTGAAAGAGGTTATCCGAAAGCGACTCAAAACGCGGTTGAACAAGCTAGAGATCCCTTTCGGTGGGCTATGGGACTCTGTCAACAGGCATCGGACTTTCGATTTGAGCGAGTACGCTCACCTCACACACGTGACCACATGCGCCGATGAATTGATGACGCCTAAATGGAAGGCATGGGGATCTGAGCCTGACTACGAACTTGGCGTATTGCCGAAGACGTTAACCCATCTTACGCTCGGAGGCACATGCTGGGACTTTGACCGTCTCTTGACTCATCTCGTCGAACAGAAAGCCACTGGAATATTGCCGAGATTGCGCAGCCTCACCATCTACACCCATCATCAAATGGGGCAAGAGGGCATGGGAGATGACCGCGCAAAGTTACCCAACCGTGCGCGATCGGATCACACCGCTACGCATGTCCAGGCACTCCAAGATGTCGGAATAACAGTAACACTAAGACACACCGGTCCAAATCATATGCGTTACTTCTGTCGGCTGAACATGATCGACACTGGTTATCGGTCCCGTCATGTGCTCGGGCAGCTAGAACCTCTAGAGATGCGAGGATACTTCGAGCATTGGCGGCATCGAGCGACTGATATGGAAGTAAGACGACTAGCGCATGAACGTATGCTGGAGCAAGAGGAGCAGCCAGAGGCATATGAGCCGAGTACACACGGAGATAAGAATTCTTATACCGATGTCGGCGGATCTAGTGAGGCTGAATGGGATAGACTCGCAAATTTGGCCCTCAATGACTGAATAGATGATCTTGACATCCTCCAAAATGTTCCTTAGTTCGTTTCTCAGCACAGAAGCGCCTCTTACAGCCGATGATATCACAATCTCCAGTGTGCACATGTTCAGCATCGTGTCTTTCCAGTTCCCTTTTCGTGAGCAGCCTGTCGTCGTTGCAAGTCGCGCATTTGTGTATTAGCACAGCTGCGAAAGCTTTCTGGGCGTCGCCTGGCTTGGGTGGCGCGCAGGGATCGCGCCATCGAATTTGGGTCGTAGATGCTACGAAGAAGTCATCGAGCCATTGTGGAGACCTGGGTGGTGACGGTGTATCATCCGAAGTTGTCCCACGGTTGGAGTTGAATTGGAATGGAGCATGGGGCTGAAGGTCCGTCGCCGCGGTCACGGTCGCAGTCCCCGTGATTGTGGCACTAGATGCTGGAGAAGCCGCAGCAACATCGACCGTATCGCATTGCATCGGATCCTCTGGAGGAACATCATCATCTCGTGCAAGCATCATACTTGGTAGTGGTTGTGGGTCCAGCAGCGCAATGACGAGTTTCTGGTCGAAGCTGTACCTGGGTAGATCGACGCCATCTCGCATAGAAACAATCCAGACGATTTCATCCTTCTCTTTCGAGCTTAGCATCTTCGTCTTTGCAACTCTGGTCATCGTATTCAAGAAGTACTCGCTGATAACAGTGAAATAGGCTCTTTGAAAGATGCTCTGAACGTGTCCTGGTACCATGTTACGCATATTGAGCATGAAGTCGCCCGTTTGACGCGTGCACGCCATGACTTGGTCATAAGTCTGCGTCTCTGAGATGGGGAAAAGGCCTGCAGCCCACGTGTGGGAGACATCATTGACGCGCCTTACATGTCTACCTGAGATCTTAGCGACCAACACTGACATGACCTCGGTACGAAGCGGCTCTTCGAAAGATTCCGCCGCGCGGACGTATGGCTGAACACCGTCCGCGTCTTCGCATTCTGGGTCGGCGCCGCCATCGAGAAGCATTCGGAGACGCGGAACGATATCAACAGCTGGGCAATCCGCAATGCACTTCCCCAAAGGACTGAGGGCGTCATGAGCTGTGCTGTTCGGATCGACGCCCTTCCCAAGAAGCACTTCAACATCGCGTAGCGTGTCGGTGGGATGTCGTTTTGCGTCCGGACAGCAGCCGAGAACCTCAGATAGGAGCGAGGTACCGTCGTTCGTCGGCGTAGGTACAAAGGTGTCAATGAGCCACCGCGCAAAAGTTGGAGTCGAATGCCACAGCGCTTGGTGCTCAAACTTGTCCCGACACAGAGACTTGCAAGGATAACCTCCAAAGAACGGAGGGAAGCTAGCACCCTTGCAAACAAACAGCCGGAGGCATTCAAGCTCGTCTGAAGAAAGTTCGGCCGCCCAATAAGGGCGATTCTGCAATGCCATGATGAACATGCTGAGGTTTGACTGGGCAACAAGTTCTGGAGGCTTGCGGTGAACATTTGCCCCAGCACTAAGAAGCATTTCCAAAATCGTGTGGCAGTTCTTGCGTGCCGCAGGGTCTGTGTAGATCTTCATTCGATGTAATAGGCATAGTTGCAATGCTGTGTGAACGCCAGGCTTCTCAGGCGATGGACCAGCATCTTCGACGCTGGCACCTCGGTTGAGAAGGATGCGCACGATGTCAGGGACATTCCAGAAGACTGCTTGACGTAGAGGAGTCCAGCTTGAACCTGGAAGTCCATTGACCTCTGAACGACCAGGTTGGAGCAGTGCTTGAACAGTGTAAGTGCGCCCGTTTTTGATGGCATTATGCAATGCCAAGTCTGTTCCAAGTGGGTGTTTGGAACCTTTTGCGCCGTAGGCAAGTAGGACCCAGATGATTGGTCCGCAAGGCATACCGCACGCAATATCAAATACGGTCTGATTTGGATGCTGCAAGATCACCATCTCGCTCAGAGCAGGGTGGCCAACGAATCGTGCGTCTGCTTCATCGAAAGGCAGACCAATTGGATGGTTGATGCGATCGACATTATCGACAATAAGCTTCTCCAACTTTTCCAAATCGCCGTCTAGGACTGCACCGACCATGTCTAGTACTATGTCGGAGGCTTGCCTAGAATCTTGCGACGATGTCTCTTCGAAGGATGGCCGGAGACTACGATATGGTCAATACACACTGAGCGCACAAATATGGGATGATCAGAGAACTACATACTCTTGTGGCTGATTCAATAGACCCAGAAAGGTTGGCTCTGCGACCGTCCCGGCTTCATCGGCGATAAGAGTGGGTAGACTAGCTACAACCTGCCAACCACCAGTCTTTGTACAATGCTCTCTGGAAGTCGAATTGATCGAAATGGGTTCTGCGAACTCGCTTGACTCGTTGTCGTTCCCAGCATTGCCATCGGAACTCTGCTCACTGGGTAGCCTAGCTTTGTGACGCGACTTCGTGGCTCTTCGCGGTTTGTGCCTCATGATACCCCACTCTTTCAACCTCATTCGATATGCTCGTGTCCTGTATCACTCGTCAGTTATCAAACGACAACATCCTTGCAAATACTCACGAAGCCCGAAATCTGTGTTTGCGTTCCATTAGCTCCTTGACCTCTTCTAGAGGCTTCTTTTGGACGAAAGAAAGCTCCTTGATCTCATCCTGCACCAACTCCCAGTCTTTCGTCATCCTTATATACTGCGGCCCGCAGCCCTGGTATTGCACCTTGGGTGGGCAATAGACACTGGTCAAGCACAGCAGGAGTGCGAAGGTGCGGCCTCAAGACCGTGCGCCGGTAGCTAGCCAAGATAGAGGGAAGAGCCTATGAGACTCTAGTATCGACGCTAGATGCGGTACTGGGACCGGTACCATGAAGGTCATTGTGCGATCCTGGAGACATGTCGTGGTTATAACAACACGCACGAGGGGACGCGGTGTGCAAAAGTAAGCCTGAGTTCAGATGACGGAACGCGAAAGTGCAATTCCAAGGCTTCGTATTGACTAGGTGGCGTGTGTCGGGTCCAACGCGAATTGAGTTTAGTGTATGTGGCACAGCCTCAAGCTTCAAGCCGCGGCTTTGCGCCCCTGCCTCGAAATCGCTCATAACCCGAAGCTCTTTCTTACCCCGTCGAATACAATAACGCGTAAGAAGCAGATCGCATATGTGATTGAGGGTCGAGAAGTCTACAAAACTTTTATTCTATGCAGATTGCGTATGTGATTGAGGGTCGAGAAGTCTACAAAGCTTTTGATCTATGCAGCTTGCCGTCTTTCATGCAATCGTAGGCTGCAGTAATATTCATTGCTGCGACCTACGTACCTAGGCGTATTCATGTCGTATCAAAACGCAGCAAAAAGGTCATCGAACCGCGTACAACAGCCATGGCTTTTGTATCAGTTGCAGAAGGGCTGCGCGCCATTTCGTTATAGCCACGCTAGCCAAGCTGACATCGCCAGCAAGAATACTCCCCATGTTTGCGATCAAACAGGCGGAGCCAATACCTATCACTGCATTCACACCGTCATGCTGCATTTTGGTAACATTGGTCAACTCAAAGTCGACCATCCACTGCTCGAGGAATGCAAGTTGCGATTAACAAAGGTATCATATGTACGAAGCGACGCTAAAACAGCAAACAAAAAGCCATAGTCCAATTCTAACGACCGCCGATTTGGCCTTTGGGAAGAGGCTTTACCCACATGAACATGCAGTTGAGCGCAATGATCATGATGCCAATGATCCAGAAAACCTGCGCATAATCCGTCTTGTGGTAGCGGAAGATGATGGCGAAGATGATACCACCAAAGTTACCAGTCGCGCCAACGATACCGGAGAGGATGCCTTTGGAAATGTTAGTAGGTCTTCTCTCAATGGGTGAAGCGATCGGGCTTACCATTAGCGTGAGGGTGGATGTGAGGTACGAGCGCGAAGTTCGCACCATTACCCGCCTCAAGGAATATGGCCATGACCGCAATGAGGCCGATCATCTCGCTGAGGTTGTGGGGGTCCACCTTTCCAATGACGATGCACATTATACCAGACATAACGCCGACGAAGTGGATCCAGAACTTCTTTGCCCAGAGGTTGCGACCGGTAACCTTGTAGATGAGATCCGCAATAAAGCCACCGAGCGGTCTGGTAACAACGTTCAAGAGACCGAACATAGCTGCCCAGCGTCCAGATTGTGTTTGACCAAGGGACTGGAAGTTCTTGAGGTAATAAGCACCAAGGATAGAGTTGATGGCGAGTTCACCGCCGAAGGAGCAGAAGTAGCCCGCGCAGAGCATCAGTGTCTGGAGAGAGAACATGACCTTCAGTCCCTCTTTCAAAGTAGGCTTGACTACGACTTCGTGCTGGAATTCATCCATGACTTGGACATCACCACGTCCAGCCTCTACGTCAGCGGCCGGTTGCTCTCGCTTCTTTTCGTCGTTGGAGGAAATCGATCCAGTGGTCGCAGGTTTGTCATCGAGGGCACCGGTCGTGGGGACCACGGAAGCTTGGTTGGTTTGATCGCTGCTAGACACTACGGTTGCCCCACGCTCAGACCACTTTCCGGTAGGCGTATCGTCGGTCAATAGCAGGAGACCGGTAGCACATGCACTGATCATGATGAATGGAACGATGAAGGAGACTCTCCATGCGACGTGCGAGGAGAGACCCTGGTCTCTCTTCAAAGAGTCGTAGATAGCGGGCATGACGAAGCTGAAGAAAAGTCAGTGGAAGCTGCTTCATAGGGGAGGTCCCGCTTACTATGTGATACCGCCGCCAGAGTTACCCCAGCCTCCGACCAAAGCGTTGGCAGTGCCGACAACATTTCTGTCGTAGAATCCAGTTGTCCAGACCTGGCATGGTACGAAGGTACCACCGAGAATACCAACAAAGAAACGGATGAAGTATAAACCCGTAGCGTTGTGTGCAGTACCAGCGAGAGCGGTCGGGATAGCACCGGCGAATAACAGACTGGCAAATGTAATGCGCGGGCCGAAGTGGTCGCACATGGGTCCGGCAATGAAGCGGACCAAAAGTGTTGCACATAGCGCGACGATGTTGGAGTTGGCAATCTGATCCTGTGACAAATGCATGTCCTCCTTGATACTCTTACTCAGCTGTGGGGATGTTAGTCTGTACAATTCGGACAGTCTCGTGGGTTGCGGGTGACCATACCAGAGGTGGAAACGCGTACCTGAAAAGTATTAGCACTCAGCAACGGAGAAGACCCACATGTGGGGAACGACTTACCATGACCAGAAAGCAATGAAGAAGCCTAGGTAAGAGAAGAAGAACACACGACCATATTTGTTGATCGGATTCAAGACGGGAATAGATGTGGCCTTCTTGTTGTATGGGTTGATCTCTGGTGCCGACCAGAGCATGTTGATAGCGAACGGCATGATGAGTACCACCTGGGAGGTCGAGCCCTACTACGATACTGATACTTCTGAAAGGTAGGTCGGGAGGGTGTAAAGCTGGCGATGCTTTACAGACGCAATATGGAAGCTGGGAGCGGGCGCTTGCTGAAGCCGTGGCTCCAAACGGAAGCTGGAGGTTATATAGATTGATGCACAAACTCCAAAAATGATACTTCCGCGGTGAAGCACAGTGACGCACGGCTAAGGTTGTGGCGCAACTCGTTCCCCAGGCCAAGTGAGATCAGACTTCTCCGTGTCTGTATTCAGTAATATTGGCGGATTCGTTATCTTCGTTGGCGATGCCCAGCAGCTGCAAGCCCAATGCTTCGGAGAAAGTATGCTTTGCCGCGCTCTCGGGTGCAGGCGATGTGTGCGATGAGCGCTAGGGCGTCAACTTGAGATCCACATGCTGCTGTAGCGAATTGAGACTCTTTCTCGACTGGCTAAAATGTAGCATGAAAGGCTGAATGTCGATGCGATGAGTCGTGGTTCGCTGGGGATGAGGTTTGACGCGGGATGGTGGGGGACGGCAGGGGCGTTCTCTTATCTCTTGGCGCTAGCCAGGCGAGAGACTAGACTCACTGTAGTCGATGCCAGCAAGGATCCTTATCAGAACGTCTGGAGATAATATGAGTTGCTGCTTTTCCGCGGTCAGCATTTGACAAAATGCCTGTGTCGCTAATACCTCTTCAGCCTCAACAGGTTCCTGTTCCTAGTACGAGCATACTGTTCGTGTCGAAGAAGTGGCGTTGGCAAAAACGACTGGAAGTAACGCAGCAAACAACAATGATAACTCAAGATCAAGACTTACTCTTGCTTCTGAAAAGTAGCTTTGCTTTTGACTTCTGGTGATGGTACAAACTTGATGTGACGGGAGTTGTGTGTCTGCCGCGTGCGTGTGGAGACGTGGCCCGATAAGCACAGAGCTTGGTGCAACGGCAACTATACCAGGCATGTGGGTGGATTCGCGCCGTTGCACAACTCTTACAACCCCAGCTTGGATTTGAGATCGTTAATTGTTTGTCGATCAGCTCCTGTCAGGATATTGATGGCCTGTGAAACATGCTTGCACCAATCAAGCGAAGATTCAGTGCTTTATCTCGCATGACTGCAGCTTTTGCCCCGGCAACACGGAGTACGCACAGGGACTCTTGGAGCACATCGATGATCTGGGAGGGTATATGATCCTCAAACGCCTAGAGTTCAGTGCAACGTCATCCGCTCCTTGGAAACTCGGTATTTGAATCTTACAATGCCAAGGCTCGTCGATACTTAGAGGCCAACACTGGATGGATGTGACGACTTATCTCAAACTCCAAGAGGTTCTCGCAAGCGGGGGTTCTAGGCCTAGATCCTGACGTACGGTGGCTGCTACAGTCACTGCAGCGATATCGGAGGAAACGGGCCGGAGAAGGCATGTTGGGTACTGAGATGCTGCGCAAGAAGACGAAGCAACTCCGGGAATATCGAAAAAGATGGTAGTGTAGTGTGGGTAGGCTCCACAGTGGGCTCAGCTGCAGCCTTTTGAGCCTCATCCGCGGAGATCCCACGCTCATCCTGAGACAGCGGTACCCAGCCACCCCGTTCTTCGATCTGTCATCACACGACTTTGACTGAATACTCTCCGAACACCTTGGTCAAAAGTTTCGGGTCATACGGAGGATTTCGAAGAATTAGCTGCTGATGTGAAGCAGGACCCGGAGGATGTCTACGTTGGTAAACACTCCTGCGCGCTGCATTCCCAATACTTCCTCGCCGTCTGCACACCCACCCCGTACATTGCAGCGCCGCACACCACCAGCACATGCATAAGCTGATGGCTACTCCCAATTACGTCGCAACGCCGAGGGTACCATCTCTCAGGCACTCTCGCAGCGTACAACAAAGCTCCGGTGCCATGACAAACGCCTAGTCCAAGATAGTAGCCCAAGCTCATCCTACTATCCATCTCTTCCACGCCATAGACGTGGGTACCATGCGCTATTGGGAGGAAAGAAGACGCTCCCAAAAGGAGATAAAGCGCCGTACGGAGATGACGAGACTGAGGACCAGAAAAGGTGGGGTGCAGAGTAGTGAGTGCGCAAGCAAGGCCCACGACAGTAGCGAAGATACTGTAGGCTTCCTGTAGTACAGGATCGCATTTGAAAGTGAAGTGTGTACTGGCAATTGTCGTACCATACAGTGGTATCACGATACCAAGGTAATCGAATCGGCCCGTCCAGGTGCGAACAATTTCGCTGTGATCGAGGAAGATGTGGTGTCTATCAAGCGTCAGT